TGGTGTTTGATCTTACCTCATGCGGCGGAGGCGCTGGCTCATCGGCATGTTCTCCTCCGGGACCTCCGCCACCACGCGCTTGCCACGGTTGTCTTCGCCAGTCATGGGTTTCGGTTTGGATCTTGAGAGGGGAAGAAGAAGAAACCGCTACATGGTTCTTAAAGGTAGAAAGACGCGAGAGAATGAGAAACAGTTTTAGGTGCAGATGTGTTTGAGGCCGAGGCCCTTTGCTGGTATTTATAGCCATGAAGGCGAGATGGTAGATATCTTAGAATGTGTGAAAGCAACCCCAATTAATGGAAGGGGAAACGTCGCTTCGCTAATAACGAGGGGAACAAGGCGTTGATGACTAAGAAGGAATTTGAAGGGTTTTTGCAATAAGGGTCATTTATCAGATTCAGTTAAGTCAGAGTAAAGTCAGAATCGGGAATCGGCTAATTTAAATCGGCTATTCTAGCCGAACCAAAAAGTACAATAGACCAACAGGAAGAGCACAATTATCATCAGGTTTACATAGAATATATACTACAGATGCTAGAACATAAATTACAAGTTAAGAGCATCATGAATTTCTCTTAGTGCTTTCAGCCGAATAGCATCAACTTCTGCAATTTGTTGTTTGTCTTCTTCGGCTGATCCGGGAATGCTCTCAAGACTGTTGTGAATAGCTTTGCCTTCCTTAACCTTGGTCAGCATCTCTTATTTCTTCTGTTTGATGGCCTTGGGGATCTGAGTCAAGTTAGACTCATGACGGTCAATGGTAGCTTTCACACTTTCCAGTTCCTGTTCGAGCTCAGCACGCCTAATTCTCAGCTGAGTCAGTTCTTGTTTAATTTTGGAAGAATAATTCTTTAGATTGTCGATCAATTATGCTAATTCTTTGGCTTCCTATTTGTTAGAGTTCTCCTTAGCCATCAAAGCTTCACGGTCAGTCAGGTTTCTTTGAGCCTTTTTCACCTTGGGAGCTTGATCCTCGATATTGGACAGAGGTATCAAGGCTTCAGCAAGATTTGGGGGTAGATCATCCTTATTGGCTAAGAAGATTCTTCTCATTGGATCTGCATCCTGGACCAAATCAGCTATGTTACTCTCGAGCATTGGCAGCATATCTTTTAGCCGATTTTTGGTCTCATCTGATAAGATTTCTTGAGAAGAAATGGCTAATGAGCTTATCTCGCTTTCATCTATATATTCCTCAAAGTTGAAAGAATAGCTCAAAGCTAGAGAGTTAAGTGCCTATATATGAACAAAATAAGTCTTATTAGAAATAGCAAATGAGTTGACAATGAGATGGATGGTGAGAGGGAGACAATACCTTTTCTGAAAGAGACCCTGGCTGAGGAGAAGGAACAGCCGATGATGTGTCAACATCCTATTCAACATCCAGTTGAATCGGCTCTGGGTTTTTTATGCTAGTGTCTGCAGGCATCAAGAAGCTTTTTAGTTTATAATTGCTATAGAAGGATAAAATGAGCATATGAATTTCTTACCATTGATTGTTTGCCGAGCTGGAGAATCGATAGTTTGAGTATCAGTGTCACCAGGGTCCTCTTCAACTAGTGAGTTGTCAGATCTTTGCTCTTGCGGAGACGTTTTCTTAGGTGGGGTCTTATAAAAGAAAAGGGTCAGAGAAGAGTGAGGACTGCATAAGATTGAAGGCTTGAGGGGATACCTTGGTTGTATCAGGTGGTGAAGTAGAGAGGTTCTCATCTTCTATTGTCTGGGATCTGTCAGAGACATCAGTTGCTTCAATTGTAATCGGCTCCTTAGGAGGATTAGCCAATGAGAGATTAGAAGATGCTGATTTAAGTGCCTGGGACAGCAGTTTAGCACCCAAAGCAGGTTGAGATGCAATAGTCGATAACTGTAAGAAAGGAATTGAATTAGAAGTTGAATATCATCTTAAGAGGGAAGATAAGTTAATTTACTTGAGCGATTGATGATTTAGTTCTGCAAAGTCTCTTCCCAGTGGTGGTTTTCTGGGGTACACCTTGGGTTGCCTTGCGTTTTGAAGATTGATATGTGAGTATTGCTGGGGTAGCTGGGGTTTTCATTAACTTTTTCAGAGTGGTGCAGTTGATCCCATTCTTGAGGATAGACATGGTGGGTAATATTCTATGGGATGTCCTTTCCTATCCACACTTGGAGGATCAAATTCGGTATCCTGCAAAAAAATTGTTAGATGAACTGACAGGAGAACTTGATAAATCCTTCTAAAAGGAAAGTGGTGAGTTACCTCACTATCAGAAGCAAAGTTGTCATCCAGGGCTAAACAATTAGGATGAATTGAGTTGCAGAAGAGGTGAGAGTGCCATTCTTGATACCAGGAGTTAAATAGGTTTGAAGAGAAGGTGACTCTTGTCCATTCATGTAGACAAAGGGAAGGAAGATCTGACCCCATTTGAAAGACTCTAGAAGCTTCCATTATTTCACTGATACCTTCTCTTGACTTCAGAGTATTTCAAAAGAATAGCCGAGGGGGTAGTTGACCAAGGCCGAATTGATGAGCCACAAAAGAGGGATTATAGAATTCATAAGTTGGAACATTATCTAGGAGACAAGCACCAGTATCCATTTTGCCACGACCATGGTGAAATTCGGCAGGCAGCACGAAGGGTTTGATGATGCAACTGAAAATTACAGCAGTTGTTTCATCTGAACAGCCTGATTCAAACCGGAATTTAACTGGCAGAACTAGCTCATTATCTTCATCTTCATCATAAGATAACCAAGTCAAGATGTTTGCATCAAACCCTCTGTAAAATTTATTAAAAAGGTAGTCTACATCAAAAACAATTGTTATAGTTGATGCAGCTTTGCCATAATTCATACACTGTCGAGTTCTTCCTTCTTTTTCTTTATAATCTTTAGCAAAGTTGGAAGAAGGAAAGCTCAGATTCCTGAGATTGGGTCTTACAATCTTATGCATGTACAGATTCAACCATAATTGTATCAACCACCAAGGGCCACTGATGGTATGCACTGGTTCATTTTTCAGCAATTGGGCAGCTACTTGGTGCATCAGATGATAAGCAGATCCCAGCAGATACTTTCCAAGGAGGATTTCATTACCGGTTGCTAAACGCTCTGCCAAGTATTTATGATTACTAGTGTACTACATCCATAATAATACATTAATAATTATATTTAGTGTTACTCTATGTTAGATTTGTGACAATCGCTGTCATATCTTGGGAGTATTTGTGATGATTTCTATGTTATTTGAATTGTGACAATTATCTCACCACCAACTCGCACAAAAGCCATGCGTGCTTCATACGGATATGTATGTAGTGATTGGTTGCCTGCTAATTCCTTGCCAGGCTAAGACTTAGGCTACGTTCGGTTACCCTGGATTTGAACCAGAAACTATTTCAACTTTTTAAAACTATACAAATTAGTGAACCAATTCCAACTTAAATCATTCTAGGGCTCAATCTAGAGCAATCGAACGAGCCCTTAGCCATGACCCAACTTAGACCGCCCCGACCAGCTGGGTTATTATTTGATTTATCGTCTAAGTTTATCCTGGCCAGATATTTGGTGTAATTAGTTGCCTGACTTGCATTGAATTTGTTTACTTTTTCTTTGTTGTGGAGTGTATATACAACACTAGCCAAGCAGTGGATAGAGGTTCGATATGATCACCTCAAACTGACGAAGGACACATACATCCAGAAGGAAATGGTGCTGATGCTGCAGCGGACTGGTCAACCATATACCAAGAGTATGGCTAATAATTCAGCCTGGTAGTGATTGTATGTATATTATATTTACAATCTATCTATGAGCATATCTATATAGAAGTTGGCTATTAGGATATATTCCATTATTAATACATGGTCTGTTTTTCTCTCTCGCAAAGTTATTTGAAGCTCATATATTAATTAGCTATAAACTTACAATCCACTTCTCCTCCTTCTCCTCAATCAACATAGAACCAACCTACAACTTTTTACTATACTTTAAGGCTACTTTCTAAGATCATAGTCTGCTCTGGTTGATGGACTAGTCCATCTCTAACCAAATATTATAGAGCAAAATGTTTCTGTCTTTCATCGACCGTCTAATAGGGATCTCACGGACTCAATCTCTCTCATGTCTGTACAAATTGGAGTAGTGTGTCCAAACACATGGTGTAGAGTCCAATTCAAAAATGAGTTGGAATACAAAGTGTTTCTAAAGTTGACCACACCCTCTCTCTCATGTCCGTATGAGGTAAGTATGTTGAGGCATGTGTAGCGTCTGATCCTAAAAATGAATCGAAACACGTGACACGATTATTGATAAATCTCTAAACCTTCCATGCCTATACGAATTAAAGCAGCACATGTCCAGGCAAGAGTTCATTTCACAAATGAACTGAAACACATGACATGATCGCTAGTCGTCCAGGTATAACTACACAACAATTGCAACGTACGGGTACATAGTATACTAATTGGAAGTTCTAAACATTGTAATTTACTCCCTCTGTCTATGAATATAAGGCACGCATATATTTTAAAATTCAAACTTTATTATCTTTAACTAATAATTAACCTAATTAAATCAAAAGTTTGTATTACAAAAGTAGTTACATTAGATTTGTATTTGAAATACTTTCTAATGATTAAACTTTTGTTCCTATAAATTATATATTGTAAGAGAAATTATATATCAAAATATGTTCTTGAAGACCGCCGCAAGTCAAATTACGTCTTATATTCGGCGATGGAGGGAGTAATTCCAAAGCATCACAGAAAATAGACCGTGTGTTTCTAACAATATAATTCTGACTTCATTTTCAAGGCCCCACTGCAACATTATTACGCAAATAGAAAACAATACAAGGGTCAGTCATGGTCAACCTCCGTTTTGTACTTGTTCTGCAGGTTGGTCTATAAATTCTGCTCAACCAAATAGAATAATACTTAGTTCAGGACTGAGTTCTCACATCCCTGCTGTACTGTGCTAATAGATCAGCTCATCCCTCCCTCGTGCCAAGGCGCGCGGCCAACATGAAGCACGGCAACGGCATGCTGCTCCAGCTAGCACTACTCATCTCTCTGTCACTCGCTGGCGTCGTCGTCGGCGGAAGCGCCCCGACGAGCACGCACCTCCGGTTCTACATGCACGACCTCGTGACTCCATATCCGGGGGCTCCGGCGACGGCGGTACGCGTGGCCAGGGGCGTGACGCCGCTGCCGACGGCCCCGAACCTCCGGTTCGGGGACATGTTCGTCATCGACGACCTGCTGACGGAAGGGCCCGACGCGGCGTCCCGCGCCCTGGGACGCGCGCAGGGGTCCTACGTGTTCGCGTCGCAGACGGAGCTGGCGCCGCTGCTCTGCGTCAACATGGTGCTCACGGCGGGGCCTCACAACGGCAGCACGGTCGCCGTGCTGGGCAGGGACCTCATCCTTGACAAGGTCGACGTCAGGGAGCTCCCCGTCGTCGGCGGCACCGGCACGTTGCGCGGCGTCACCGGTATGGCGAGTTCAGGACCCACACCTTGAACGCCACCGACGGCAACGCCGTGCTCAAGATTGACAGGTACCTGAGCCTGAGCGTGTAGCAGTCCTGTTTAGGTCGCGACGTTACACCGATTGATGGTCTAGATTTCTACCTGGCCTGACCAAACAACTTTGCCTGGGGCACTGAACCCAACAGACCCGTACTACGTACATCCATAAATATACGTACGTTAATATATATATATATATATATATATATATATATATATATATATATATCAAGAAAAAAAGTGCAAGTCTATTGTTATATTTGTGACACAATCGCTACATGTCATATCTTGGTATGTCTGATGGTTTCTATGTTAATATAATATTTCTTTTACCTGAATTATGACAATTATCTCAACACCAATACGGACAAATTAAATAAAAGCCATACGTGCTTTTCAGATGGCTTTACGTATGTAGTGATTAGATGCCTGGTAATTCCTAGCCATGCCAGGGCTTAGCCATGCCTAACTTAGAGCATGTATAGATCACTGGGCTAGTTACTAGTTGAGAGTAAAAATTAATCCAAACTAGTTAGAGTTGGCTAGGGTGGCTAGGATGAACTAAAAACCCATAGACCTCCCGTTTAGATGCGCCAGGGCTAATCCTAGCTAATTTTTAGCTAGCTAACCAATAGCTCCTGCATTCAAATAGGCTCTTAGACTGACAGACCGGCTTTAGTGGGTTTATTTGGTTTGTGGTCCAAGTTTATCCTAGCTAGATTTGATTGTGATCAGTTGCCTGACTTGCATTGTAGCTGAGTGTAACACTTGCCAAGCGGTGGATAGACGACGGAGGTGATCAACAAACTGACGAAGGACACGAGAATATCAAGAAGGAAATGATCGGTGTTGATGCTGCAACAAACTGGTTAACTGTATACCAAGAGTGTGGTTAATAATACAAACTGTTGTTGGCTATCAGCCTAGCTATATAATAGTTGGCTATTAGAACATATTTATCATTAATACATAGTTTGCTTTCTTTCTCTTTTTTAAAACTCGTGCATTAACTAGTTGTAAACTTATAATCCACTTCTCTTCTATCTTAATCATCCTAGAATCCACATATAACTTTTTACTATACTTTAAGGCTATTTTCTAAGATCATAGTCTCTACTATGGTTGATGGACTAGTTTCTCTAATATAATATTATAAAGCAAAATGTTTCTTTATCTTTCATCGCTCGTAGCCAGCTGTCTAATAGAAATCTGAAGGACTCGATCTCTCCTAGGTCTATACAAGTTAGAGTAGTGTGTCTAATCATGACGCAGAGTCTGATTCGAAAATAAGGCCTAAAAATTTTTAAGATTTCTCGTCACATCAAATCTTACGGCACATGCATGGAACATTAAATATAGATAAAAAAATAATTAATTGCACAGTTTGCTCATAATTGACGAGACGAATCTTTTAAACCTAAATAGTCCATAATTAGACAATTTTTACCAAATACAAACGAAAGTGCTACGGTAGCCAAAAACCAAAAAATTCCCCATCTAAACAGGGCCTGTAATACAAAGTGTTTCCGTGATCCACCACTCTCTCATGTCCTTACAAGTTAAATGTTGAGGCATGTGAAGAGTCTGATCCTAAAAAAAATCAAAACACGTCACATGATCATGGATAAATCTCTAAACTAGGGGCGACTCGGGCGGCACCCACGCCGCCGCCGCCGTTGGGTCAGACACTGCGCCCTCTTGGCCTGGTCGCCGCCAGAGCTTGACTCTGGAAGTCCGGCGGACGGCGAGGACAGCGGCGGCTGGGTCCTCTTCCTCCCCTCTCTCCCATGGAGCTTCTGCATCGGAGCTGCGGAAAAGGCTCGGCCGACGGCGCATTCGACCCTGGTGAGGGCGGAGCCGGCTTCCCACGCCTGGATCCGGCGTCTCCATCCTCCCTAGGAGCGTCTCCCTATTCTCCGACTGTGCCAGCGCACCCCTCCTCCCCGTCTCCGGCCGGTGCTGTCGCTGGAGAGCCGGCCGGTGGCCCATCCAGCCCCAGTGAGGGCGGATCCGGCTTCCCCACGCTCGGATCCGGCGTCTCCACTCTCCCCAAGCGCTTCTTCCTCTTCTCCGACTGCGCCAGGGGCCCCCTCCTCCCCGTCTCTGGCCAACGCTGTCGCGGGGGAGCCGGCCGGCGGCACATCCGGCATTGGTGAGGGCAGATCCGGCTTCCCCACGCCTAGATCCGACTACGGCCGACCAGAGACGGCCAGCAACTGCCGGGGCTACTTTCGACGCACTTGCGGCATGCGGCGGTGGCGGATGGCCTCCAGCGTTGGCAGGCGACCTCGCCGGCCAGCTGGTGGACGGGGAAGGTTTCAACGGATGCATGGCGTGGCGGTGGCGGTCAGCTTCCCCGGCGTAGATCAGGTGCTTCCCCGGCTGTTCGCGTTTTTGTAGCAGACGGATTTGCGCAGCGATGTTGGGTTTGGGCGCGACTTGTCTGGCTTGAGGGCTGCAGGCTTCAGTGGGCGGTCTGCAGCGCCATGTGCGGCTGTGGCGCCGTGCCACGGTGCCAGGGCGACGTCTGCCGGTGCGCGCGTCCCATCGTCGCGGGCAAGTCCAGAAACGGCTCTGCGAGGTGTGGTGGCGGCCGGCACTACCGGTGCGCGCCTCCCACCATCGCGGGTGAGTCAGTCAGTGGCTCCGTGAGATGTGGCGGCGACCAGACGATTGCTGGTGCATGCCTCCCACCATCGCGGGCGAGTCTGGGAACAGCTCTGCGAGGTGTGACGGCGACCGACACCCTCCTCCGTCCAGGCGCGAGCCATCACCGTCGTCGGCGAGTCTGACAAAGGCTTCGCGTGCTGCGGCGGCGATCACCACCCCCCTTCCTTCGAGAAGCGCACCTCCCACCGTCGCGGGCAAGTCCGACGATGGCTCTGCGAGGTGTGGCGGCGACCAGCATCACCCCCTCTGTCCAGGCGTATATGCTTGCCGGTGCGCGCCTCCGACGGGCGCAGGCGAGTCCGAAAACGGCTCCACGAGGTGTGGCGGTGGCCGGCACCCCCTCCATCTAGGGATGGATGCTTGCCGGTGCGCACCTTCCACTCTCGCGGGCGAGTCCGATAACAGCTCTGCTCGGTGTGGCGGCGACTGCATACCACCTCCGTCTCAAAGGGAGTACTAGCAAAGGTTCTGGGTGAAAGCTCAGCTCGGTCAGTCTATGCCAGCGATGAGGATCTCCTTTTTGAAGCCGTCGCTGAAGAACCTTCGTGCTGCTGCTTCTCCATGGCCGGCCCGTTTCAACCCCTCGACACAAGGCTCGGGCGAAAGCCTTGCCAAGCTCCTATGGCGTCACCTCTTGTTGCTTGGCCGACAATGATTACGTAGCGGCGTCATCCACCTCCTTGGATGCATCGTCGAAGAGTTACTGTGCCTTGGCGTTGGTGTTTTTCTTTCTCTCTATTTGGTGTAATTTTGGACATGCCACAATTTAACCCTTATGCTGGGGTTTCTGTCCGTATTTTTGCCTCGTTCCCTAAAAACGAGACCGTCGATGATAAATCAATACATCCAGGCAGGGAAGCTCTCCCCTCCGTGGTTCGTGTCAAAAGAAAATAAGGCCATGTTTAGATTGCAAATCTTTGTAATCTGAACACTGTAGCACGTTTCGTTTATATTTGACAAACTTTGTCCGATCATGGACTAACTAGGCTCAAAAGATTCGTCTCGTGATTTACAACCAAACTATGTAATTAGTTATTTTTTTATCTACATTTAATGCTTCATGCATGCGTTCAAAAATTGATGTGATGGAGAGAGTGAAAAAAATTGGAATTTTGAGGTAATCTAAACCAGGCCTAAATCTCTAAACATTTCATGTTCATAAGAGTTAGAGCAGCACATGTCCCTAGAATAAAGCTCGATTCACCGGTGAATTGACATGATCGCTAGTCGTCCAGGTATAACTACACAACAATATTCAACGTACGTGTATATATTAATATATTATACTAATTGGAAGTTCTGAACATTGTAATTTAATTCCAAAGCGTCACAGAGAATTTACTAACAATATAATTCTGATTTCATTTTCAAGGCCCCAACGCCAATGAAACATTATTACGAGAATAGAAAACGATACAAGGGACAGTGATGGTCACACACTCACACCACAATGATGCTTGAAAAAGGAACTCCTAACATACTGCTCCCTACACGTGCAGGTACATGTCGATCTTGACCACGGCGTTCTTGGTGGTGGAGTTGAAGTAGTGCGTCCTGAGCAGAGCGTAACCGGTGGCTCCACGGAACCTGCCGGCTCCGCCAATGACCGCCAGCTCCCTGACCTCGTCAAAGAAGGCGTCCTTTCCATTGACGACGAGGTAGCTGCCGTTGTGCTTCCCCGCCGTGAACACTATGTTGAGGGAGAATATCACCGCCAGCTGCTGCTGATCCGCGAAGGGGTAGAACCCCTGCGCGCGCCCCACTGCCGGCGACGCCGCATCGGGACCCTCCGTCAGTGGGTCGTCGATCACGTGCATGTCGCCGAAGCGGGCAGGGGTGCCGGGGTCTCCCGGCAGCGGCGTTGTGCCCCTCGCCACACGCACCCCCGTGGCCGGGCTCTCTGCTGTTGCTGTCACGATGTCGTGCATGTAGAACCGGAGGTGCGTGGTGGTGGTGGCGGCGGCGGCGGCGAGCGCCATCGAGACAGTTATCAGTTGGAGCTGCACGGTACTAAGCTTGCTTTTGGCCATGGTGTGATAAGGGAGAGAAGGACAAAGGGGCTTCTACTTGAACCGTGGAACGCAGCATGTGCTTATATATTTCGTCGATCAACAACCGTGGAATAGACTTTTAGGGTTCCCGATTTGATTGTTTTAGTTTTCGATTAGACCAAGAAGGCTATAACAATACAATACAAGTATGAGCTTACCGAAACATTAATAACAATTAACAACCCTGAAAGCCCATAGAAATTTGATACGCACAAATAAATGGCAGAAGCAAAAATTTAAACTGTTTCGGGATGATATATAACCCAGAATT